GTGGTCTACTGCTGCTCTAACTAATAGGAGGAGTAAGCCAAAAGGCTGTGGGCAAGGGGTAGTGACCATGGAAGTTGGTTGCATTACAGAGCTGTCTGGGTTTTACATTTAGGGGAGCACAGATTTGTTTTAGGGTTGGATTGTAATTGTGGAGTAAGTGTTTTGAAGCTTATTATATTTTGGGCTTTGGTGAAGGGGAGGCTAAAGCGTAAGAGTTTGGTTAAGAGTCGGGGACGCAAGTCAACACTTTTATGTATGCTCCTATTATGGCAGTTCAATTAAAACACAGCTACACAACTGCCTGGATGAGGTTGTTACCACCAAAAACAGCATAAGCCCAAATTGATGGCACATGATGCCAAGAGATGTGTGAATTTACTGTCCGGAGAGCAAGGTGATATGGCCACAACTCAATTCATCACCATCTGTTCATTTTATCTCTTCCAAATATATTTCTGCAACTAACTAAACTTTAGAAATCCTGCTTTGTACAGACTCACAAAGGTTTATTCCCTGAACTGCCTGATGGAGTTCACTTATCTCTAATTGTATCAAAAATCCAAAAAGCTAGGATAATTTCCTGGCATTTTCTGTTACAAAACCCTTTTTCTCAACAGCGGCCTTTGGAAAGTGTGAACGGTGTACATTCTTCAGACTTCAATCTTTGTTTCTTTGATGGGAAGTGGAACACATGCTCTTCCACCTTTTTGTAAAAGAAATCACCCACTGCTCGCCATGTTGTGTGAATGCCTATCCTGGCAGGGTACAAAAGCCTTTATCTACATGAAGAACTTGGATCGGGTCTTCCAAGCACTTCAGTAGTAAAAGATCTGTTTAAACTGGAAAGTACTCGCTGTTTAGTATGGTAACATAAAGATTGTTTTTCTCCAAATACTTTTTAATTCCTCTCCATTTTTTTTTTTAAACATTACACAGTCCATACCATTCACCCAAAACAGTTGACAATGTTATATAAAATGTGGTTCCCTCAGTAGGTAATTCTTAAGAGTTATGATTTGCTGGTGAGAAGATTCTTTGTGCTAAGGCCCTTTTGTACCACAGAAGACTGTTACCCGCTGAATCCTTCTGGCACGTTTTCACATATCTGAACAGTAAATTACATTCTTCTCCCAATGTTAATTGGCAATATGGTACACAGATGCCTACTATCCTGCATCCAACTATATTCATGTAAGCTTGGTTGCATACACTACATCCTTGGAACAATTTTGCAGTGTTATTTGCTGATGGGATTTCAACATTGTACTATCAACTGCACAGTTCGGATTCTGGGCCAGGAGACAAGCAGAGACGTAAGGTAAGTCTATGGATGCGTGAACCCGCATGCAGACACCGCTGGATCGGAAGTGCCTGCAAACAGAGAGGAGTCAGCGCTGGATCGGAGAGCCGCCGCACCGCTGGAGGGACAGATGAAAATATCAGGAAAGAGGAAGATCGGATTAAGAGACATAATTTAAGGTAAGTGCTAACATTAACATGGGGGGGAGGGGAAAAAATTATCCTTTAATGTCACTTTAAGTCATTGGTGTGTCTCAAGGCTGCATTAATTGTTGTCATTGTCAGAGATGAATAAAATGCTTTACCTTGCTAACAGCTTTTGCTAGTGTGAGGTGAAATTGCAAAGCTTAGCAAATCAAGCCAATTCTTGACTTTTTGTTATATTTGTGTTTTAAAAGTCACATAATTGAAACAAAAAAAATCTAACCTCTATTTAAAAACAATGAAGGTCCTACTGAAATATTAATGTGGAATGCCAACCAAATTCATTTTTAGATGACTGAGGTAGCATTTTACAGGGCTTAACAGTTTCCTTGAACTTTCTAACCACAAAATTGTGCCCTTCCCTTGGAATCCAAAAGTATGAATAGGATGTTGTTGTTATGGTCAAGATATAGTTTGTATTTGTAACATCCATATAAAAGCCAATGTGTCTCTATCAAAAGGGCCCCTTTTTCATGAAGGCTTGATAAACACTGAATTCAGGGAGATCGGGACAATAAAAAAAAGGTTAGGATTTCTAAAGGAGTTGGTTCTTCAACAAAGTACCAACTGCAAAATAGGCTTTACAGAACTGCAATGAAAAGTAATAGGGAGTAAGTGAAAGACAGACTTTGAAGCGCACTGCTATAGGGTAGTAGTGGATTCAGTTTATTAGAATTATCTCTAAATTATACACTTCAAAGTATTCTGAAAGGCAGGAATGTAGTAGGCCTTAGCACCTGGAAGGACCAGTATTGCATGTTATCAGCAGTAGGGAGAAGACGCAAGTGGGTCTATAGTCCCAAGAACACTACAGAATCCTCAACAATCCTCTTACTGTAAACTGTTTCAGTCAATGTACTCTGAGATACCTTTCAGTGGTTCTATCATTTCTGTCAGGGGGTTGACTACATTGGTGTGGTGGTACAAGTTTATCCTTGAATAAAACCAGTCATAAGAGAACTGTCAGGTCCCATTACTGATTTCTCCTTCTGAAAATGTTAGTTGAATATCTTATCATTGTTATATATCATCATATAGCTCAGCTTTGAATAATTTTTTACAAACCTATTTAGAGCTTTGACTACCACCTCAAGATTTTCTGTACATTGTACATCCATTCTATACCCCCACTAGCAACTGAATCAGAGAATCTGGCATGTTTTACTTGGTTTATATATTTACTTTGAGATATGTTTTTTTCCTGTTGATCAATTTAATGGCTTTTGATCAACAATGGGAATATTCATTGTGTCTTTTATTATGAAATGAGTTATGACTGTTTAAAGGCAATTTTTTTTTCTCTAAAAAATTATTATATTAGCCATAGACTCGGATATTCAAACTGAGTTTTTAATAGCAGTTGTTACCAGTTATCAATGTATTTATGTCTTGATGATGTGTGAATTCAGCAACAACAACAAACATTTTCAATTTCTGTTCACACAAGGCATTTTCAGCATTTCAGAAATATGTATGAAACTGAGAGATTCTGCAGAATGGAAGTTCTGTCTCTAGTGAAATGCCCAACCTGATTATTGTAGGCGATGTTCCAGTTGGTAGCATTGTTTGCAACTGTCAGGCTAATTATGGCTGACCGTTGCAAACAATGCTACCAACCAATGCTATATTAATGGTAGCTGGAACCAGACCGGATACTATGGTAATACTTCTATTTCTTTTTTTTTCCTTTTGAAGAAGAGTCAAATATTCCAGTTTTATATTATGCGCTGAATATTTTTTTTTTTATCCTACTGTCTAAAATGTTGACTGCAAGAAAGTTGAACGTTACATGCTGCTGAATCGTTTTGCTGATTGTAGTAGAATGGTTCGCTGCACTCTGTGAAAATGCATTACAGAGCACAAAAACACTCTAGTAACATCAGATATGCCCTTTCCATGCATGTATTTACTCAGCCGAATGATTCCTCTTTCCTATTGTGACATATATGATGTTCCTAAACATGGTACATCTGGTCCACAAAAAACATGCACAGGGTATTTGAGATGTTCTCATATGCGATTGCAGAATGAGATGGAGGGCTTCTGCAACTTCATAGCTCTGTAATGTTTGAGAACATGTGTTTTAAACATAGATTGTCATTTGAATTCATAGTTATTCACAGGGCTGTCCTGTTTGTGTGTGTTTTTTTTGGGGGGGGGGGATCATAAACACCGTAAAGCTTAAAGACTCCTCTTTCCCTGTTCAACCACTCAGATAGTTTAGAATAAGCTTCCATTCATACCAGTGGCACCCAAATGTAACGCACGAAAAGCACATGTTGCTCTTGTGGTACCATTAATGTTAATGCAACTCCAAATGTGGCAAGCAAGATGTAATAAATAGAAACATGTTTATCTTATTGACAGACATTAAGATTATTTGACACTGATGAGATGATTTTAATTAACGGGGGGGGAAAAACTTTTTAAAGCATGCATTTGTATATAATAATAATAATATATTTCCTCCATTACATTTCCCAGTGGTAGCACAGATTTCAGATGTTCCCACTGCCAAGATTTGGCCAGAGCTGGAATGTGTTTGTGTGTGGAAGCTTTGTAACATGGTCACAGGCTACATGAGAAGTATCGTATATATTCAGTAAACATATATTTATCATCCATTGAATGACACAGGAACTTAAATGTGCTTAGGGTATATTGCCACCTATAGGAGGTTGGGACACTGGTAAATAATAAAACGATTAAACTATCCCCTGCATAATTCCACCTACAACAGTAATACCTCAGTTTTTTTTATGATGTCCTAGGAAGTCTGTTACCTTTTTTTTTTTAGCTCTGCTGAAGTCTTATTGTATTTTTGCTAGTCTCTTTTTATCATTTTTTTCATCTTATGTTTATACTTTACATAAACCACAGATTTTTTTCTTCTTCATTGACATCAGTAAAGACTTTGAAAACACTGCAGGAGCCCAAAGGTACCAACTGTGTGTGTGTCACCCCTAGTGCTTCAGCCTGACAGGCTTTAATTATGTCACTGGGTCACACTAGAGGCTGTGCCACAGTTCTGGACCTTTTGTTTGCTAAAGTACTGTGTACATTTTTGCCATTTTTTTTTTAATATCAAATATTTTCACTTTTTTATTCATCCTTTGCATGTCAGTGCAGTTGACCTCCAGCAGCCACTACCTATCTACATGCATGCATTCCATCACTGGCTACATGACATTTTTCATGATGGGCTTTCTGATGGTGATAACATTAGAACATGGTAGTGTCATTTTGTTGCTGTATAACAGGAAGTGCCTAAACAAGAACCTTTAGGGCAGGATGAACAGTTATTATTTAAAAAAAAGCTGCAGCTTTAAAAATATTTAAAAAAATACTTTAACAGTAACATGTTAAAGCTTATGTAAGATTTTTTTGACTGGGTTTACTTTAAAGTTATTATTTTCAACACTGTTTACCACAGTATTTAGGTATGTGTCAAATATTTGTATGCATTATACTAATGTGTGATGTGTTACTTTTTTCAGGTACCTGTATTGAGGCCCATGGATCTAATGGTGGAGGCCACACCCCGCAGAGTGTTTTCCAATGCACACACATATCACATTAATTCAATATCTGTGAACAGCGACTATGAAACCTACATGTCAGCAGATGATCTAAGGATAAACCTGTGGAATCTAGAGATAACAAATCGAAGTTTCAGTATCCTTTTGGTTCATAAGAAAGGGCTTGTGTCAGTAGACCACCAATATATAATTCAAGATACATCAGGGTAACAATATATAAGCTGGCTTTCCTTTTGCAGCAAACATTTTATATGTTTGTCCTCCATATATATCACAACTGCATAGGTTTTTCTTTCTTTTTATGACATGCTTTGGGATAATAGGGTGGATTGTTATGTGAAGTAAGTAGGTCTTGTGGCAGTCCTGCCTACTGTTGCCTATAAATTCAAGCAGAACAAAGCACTTAATTCCCAACTCCAGTCAAAATTTTCCCTGATAACCATCATCTGGACATAAAGTGAGAGGAACGAAAGGACACAGACAGCAATAAAAAGTTGACTGTTTTTACACAATCCTCACTATCTGGGTATAAAGCATTTACCTACTGTGTGTCTGGCCCTTTCTAATTATCCAAAAGAAAAAACATTTGACTGGAGCTGGGTTTTAAACTATGTTGATGATTTCACCATGGAAATGAAAAGTGAATTTGTACCCGTTTAGGTAAATGTGACTATTTGGCCTTAATTTGGTGTCCTCCAGACATTGTGGATATTAAACCAACCAACATGGAAGAACTTACAGAAGTGATAACAGCCGCAGAATTTCATCCGCATAATTGCAATACATTTGTATATAGCAGCAGTAAAGGAACAATACGACTCTGTGACATGAGATCTTCAGCTCTATGTGACAAGCATTCGAAGTGTAAGTCATTGTCTATTTTTCTTTTGCACCTTTTATTCTTTCTATTTTTGATCTGGATTGTGCCTATAAGTATGCTTATTTGTTCTGTGATGTCTGACCTAGATGTTGTGGGCAGACTACTTAGTCCTTAAATCCTTTTTCATTCCGTAAGCCAGCTATCAAAATGCCACCTGTGCCCCAGCTGCCATCCACGATACTGCTGGCTGCTGGAAAAAAGGGAAGGTAGTGTTTTCTCTCTGCACACCATAGATATCATGTCCCGTGGCTAGCTAGGGTACTTGCAATACTGTGCTGGAGACTCATTGGGTCATGTTAGTTTAACATGCCGTCTACTTAAATCTAGGTTGGCAGTCTGATTATGTTGGAATACACTAGAGGGGCTGGTGTGAGCACAGGTATACACTTTAAAGTGGTAGCAATGGAACCAAAATGGAAACACAGTACTGTAGAGAGACCTCTGATACAGGCATTTAACCATTATAAAAATAAGTTATGAAAGTAAAATTGCCTTCTAAAATCATGACATATATGATCATGCTGTCCTGCTTACTATATCAAAGGCAGCCCAACCTAGAAGAATGGATGTAAAAACTTAAACTGGTAGCATGTGATATAGGTAAATGAGACACTAAGTAGGCATAACATTGTGACATTTTGTGTTGTAAGCCTATATAGGCAGGTAGATTCGGAAAGGTGTAAAGTCACTGAAAGGTTCCACATCAAGTGTACACTATAATCCGAGCCTTGGTGCCACCTGAATTGGCAACATTGCCACAGTTTTATTGTGTTGCTTGATATATTTCAAATGTTTGCTGCAGAGCAATAATACAAAAAGTCAAATTTAAGGGTAAGAATTGCCATAGATGAAAAAGAACTACACAACTGTATTGACTTTTTTTTTGTGTGTGTATATCTGCCTGGCGTTCAGCTTTATTACAATTACCTTTTTCAGACATTTAATTGTAAGCTTAACAAATGATTTAGTCAGATAAAAAAAACTCGGGGCCATATTCTTCAGATCATTAAAAGCACGGTTCCAAAATGCCAAATGCCTTGTACAGATAACTGGTTTTGATGTGAAAATGTTCAGTGTAACACTTTCAAATAATAATGTGAAAGGTGTTACACTTCACAGAGGCATCTAGCCATTTCCCTGGCTCTCCTTGCAGATGTGGCTTATAAATTTTCCCATTCATGGCAGGTGAACATCATTAGATTGTGTTGTAAAATGGGAAGAGCGTGACAGGCAGCAGAAGGAAGTGTCCCTTAATTAACTTAAAAGGGAAGGATACAACTGTACAATACACATTAGCTGGTTCACTGAAGCATTGGGTGCATACGAATGCCCTTAACCTTTCTGGTATACGACCTGAGAATTGTAATTGGGTTGGAGAAGAAGCTGTTAGGAACACAGGTCACTGCCATGACACAACACTATTATTACAAAATTACATTTATCATAGAGTAGATAAAAGCTTAAAACTCAGTGTCTTACCATTTGACTGCCAGGGCATCCTAGATAGTCAGTTGGTAACATGCCCAGCATTCCACCTATCTTCACCAGTTCTGCAGGTTTCTGCATTGTATTCAGGCCCCCTCCTTTGCGCATAGTCAGTCTTTGTAGTTTCTCTATCAGTCTTTTTATAGGCCTCCGTCTTATCCCTCTGGCAAGCTGCATTGTAAACTGTAAACTCATTCTTGTGATTGCTGCTTTTTTTTGTATCCGACTCTTGTCCGTTTCTAAATTATTATTTTTTTAGAGAAATATGCATGTAAATTTTAGTTATATGAAACAATGTTTTCTAAACTGTGGAAATAGAAAGATAGCACCTGCTATTGCTGACTTGTTATTAGAGATTTAGGCTCTGTGTATGTCCTAGTGATGTTGGTGTTGATAATCTGAATATGAACATTGAGCCAGTCTAAAGGTCTGCAAATCCTTGCTGCATACTGGTTCTAGATCATTTACAGACACTAAGAATTATGACCTGGAGCCTTCCACTTTTGCAAACAAGTGTGCATTCGCAGCTACTGTATTTTTATGCAATTGCATACCTTTAAAAGGTAGAGAATACCTAGTAAGAGAAAGATGAACATGGAAGCATCCATTAACTGTTAAATGCACGTCAGTGTTAGGCTTTTTTCATGTAGACTTTTTTGTGTAGTTATATAGAAAATCATGAGTATGTGTATGTTGCCGCAAAACATGTCTTTTTGTTTGTATCTTTATCTGTAATTAAAAAAAAAAAAACGCAATTAGAATGGTTGGCTGCTATCCTTTCTGCCACCGGGCTTTAAGCGCTGCACCCCCTAGCTTATACCTTTTAACAGTGACACTGCTTCCTACAAATTGGTCCAGGCAGTAGATAATCTGTGTACAAGTTTGCAGATCTGTCTCACATTGGCTCATGAACAATGATGGCCAGCGTAAGGCAGACCTACCCCACTGGTCTAAATGGTTAAAATACTGGCAAGAACCATTTGTGTAAAAACTCAAGACAAGGGACTCAAGGACAGAAAGATGTTTCGTCTTTGCTATTAGCCTAATTGCAAAAGTTTGCTTTTAATGTTTAATATGGCTACCTTTTAAGTATACTTTATCAGAAAATATCCCTTACCTTTTAACCCTTTCGCTGCCAAGGACGTACGGCGTACGGAGTGGCTTGGCCAGCTGATTTGAAAAATGTTCCGGAGGGCTTGGCAGCAAAAGGGTTAAATTGTATTTCATTAAAAAAAAAAGAAAATCAGTAACAGTAGGTAAATCAATAAAAGTTAAGGATGTGGAGTACATGTTGCATGTAAATCTTTTTTTAAGAAACTCCTACATTTGTTTTTACGTGGTACTCGCTTCTGGTAACTGGAGCAAAAGTAATGATAAAGGCCATAAGAACCTATTTGGTTTCTTCATTGATTTTCTGCAGGGGAAAAAAGTACAATGCTGCTTTTTATAAATCTGCCTTTTAGTGCAACACCACTTACTTTAATATGTGAACATAAACCATACATGTTTTGTTTGATATTTAATCCTCACTTTTTTTGCATACTTTTTCTCCATTGTCTTCTAAAGAGAAAAGATCATCCACCCAGGAAGAAGAGTTCTATTTGACCTCTCCCCTGACATTTTGTGATTGATTTTTTTTTTTCCACCACCTTCACAGGTTCAGCGACGAAGTCAATTTCTGTTCAGCTGACGGGCAAAGCTCAATTGAGACAGTTCATCAGAGTTGAAAATGAAAAGTAACATTGACTTTTATGGATGAATTCTCAGAAGACAGTGGGGAAATTTAATAACTTTAGACTTTAATCAAAATGCAGAAATGGGAATGACAAAAGAGAAGTAGCTGCAGCACAAAATAAACAAGGCCTTCCTGTTAGATGGCACATGAAATGTGAAATCATTGACTACCCCTTTCACTTCATTTCCCTGGTGGCCTTCACATGAATAAGGCATAGGAATTCTTCCAGTGTGACACAGAAGTCGCATCTGCAGAATTGCAGGAGTTGTATCTAGGAAACACAGGATACACGCTTCCAGAACTGATTGGCAGCTCATGGTACATTAAAGCTTATCCCTGGGATAAAGTTAACCCCCTCTCCCACCTACCTTGAACTAATCACTGGATAGGGCTTGGGACTGATCATGTGATGCTCCAGTATGGCGGGGTCCTTCTTTGGATGTCCACGTCACTGTCTGCTCGACATGTACACTTCCTATTGGTTGCTCAGCGGCAATTTCCTCTCAGGATTATAATAGATAAGTCACGTCATTGCATGATGAACGTTGGGGACAGACCAGCAAGGAACCATATGCAACTCTGGGTTAGCAGTTCCCAGCACCCAGAAACTACGCTGGTGAGGGATCTAGATGGGGGACTTTGGTGAATATAATTTTCTTCACCAGGTATGAACGAAGAAACACCTTGCACTATGGGTTAGAGGGGGGTGGGAGGGGTATCCTTAATTGGCCAGAGTGGGGCTTTAAAGGTAAAAAGAGACCCTTTCAGTGAAAAATCTAAAGTCACAATATTTACTAGTACTGATTCTGTTGCTGTCACTCACGCAGCTGGGTGGCTCTCGACAGTATTGTCTGGATCCGTCCCGGCTGCGACACTCTGTTGCCCACGATAAACTGAGCTTTGGGTCACGGGTGGAGGATAGTATATGTCCTCCCGTAACCCTAAAGAGAACTATGGGGAAAAACACTTACATCATGGTTCTCTTTTAAGGTTCTTGAATGTAGTTTTAAGCTTTAACTCCTGAGTTTAGTGTCACTTTAATAGAATACATATACACAAATAATGAATGTTTTAAATGAGACACTTCCGATGACATAGATGATCAGATCACATTTTAGACCATATTTATATGCACATCCAGAATGTTAAGATTTTTTTTTCTCACAGCTGCTAGAGCTAATTTAGAATATCCCAGTAGTATTGCTACAATATAATAATCTTTAGCTGATAAAGGAATATGAATATGTATCAAGTGTGATGTATTACTTTATAACTGCCCTGAATATCGAATGTATGGGTCACAAGTCTAGATGCTGTAATAACGAATGTACCAGTCAGAGGACCAGATGCTTTAATAAACAAGGACCTTTGATGGTGCTGTCCAACTGCCGACCATCTCCGGAAAGTAGTCCTGGCAGGCAAGTTGTAGTCGTCTTGCATCAGTACTGTGTAAAGTCAATGACACAGAACATTTATACAGAAATCCTCATCTGTAATTTTGTTCTGGAAAGGATTAGAAACCGAGGAATAAGCATAGCCAGGCCAGTAGCATTTTTAGAAGGTGGTAAGCTATAACCACCCACATATTTCTCTTGTGACAGATTTCCTTTAAGATTGAATTGATGATACATGCAGTTACCCCCACAGGGACGTTTCTGTCACAGCTTTAATTATCTAAATAACGAATGTATAATGGTATTTTCTATGGCTAGAAATGTAAAGCACGTATCTAATACAAAGATAAAATATCCATTCTCACAATATAGTAAACATTTTGCTTTGCAAATTCATTTTCAACAGTTACATTGACCTAACCTGTGATTTCTGTTTTGGAAGCAGTTTTTGTATTTGGTTCAGGTTTTGCACTTCCTAAATCACCATCTTTAATACAAAGGTGTGTGGCTCATAAATGTATAATTTTAATTCAACAATGGTTTTTATTAAAGAAAAATATTTTATGAGAGTAGAATTCTGTCCCAGTGGGATTGTCGTGAGTGTACATAGATCTGACCTTTTGCTCTGCATACCCCTTGCTGTCAAAGCAAGTTGAGTGATTGGCAATTATTAGGATGATAGAACTAAGCAAATGCTAGTTTCCACGGTAACCAGATTAAGGCTTTGAATAGATCTACAAGTGGAAGGCCTCATGTGGTTGTTTGCTACTACACAATTCAAACATCTCTTCAATTAGCATTACTACCATTTTAAAGACCTTTATGCTACACCTGCCTGTTCTTTACTTGTTTCAAGTGCCACTTTCTTTCTTTTTTTTTGTTTTCCCATTCATTCATAAAATCATTGTATATACCTAAGGTTGTAGATGATATACAGAGCTCTCAAACGTTATTGACATAATTAAAAGGTATTACCAGTTCTAAAATGCATAGACATTTGTACGAATTAGAGCCAAATCACGCTGGCAATTCTGCCCCTAGTGATCCCTTATTAGTGACAGAATTACCAAAGTGTCCCTTTTTCCCCCTTGGCATCGCCCAAAACTCTATGGAATCTCAGTTGCTAGCCAGGAAGCTGCGGAAGCTGCAAAGAAGCGATATCTTACGGATTTGGGCAGTGAAAGTGTGATGCCATAGTTGAAGGTGAATTGAATCTTGGCAATTCTGTAGTTAGCACCTTGTTACCAAGACAGAATCATGAAAGCTCACCATACATTATGCATTCTGATTGTACAATTTTCTTTTACATTTAACAAAACAATGTATTATGGGGACCTACATGGACTATCCATTTAATCCATTCAGGTTGGCCCTCGTACTATATAGTTCATGAATCTAAAGGAGATTGTTCAGTCAGTTTGTACCGTTTGTGGTGAGGTTCATTCAATTGTTCAATTCTTTTTATTCAAAGGATGGCTATATTGATCCATTGTTTGGTAGAAAGCTCAACAGATTGGATGATGTCATCCAAAACCAGGTCTGAACTATAATCGGCTTATGTCTATGGCGTACCAAAAAAAAGCAGAAGATACACTCAGGACTTTACCATTGGAGAAAAATTTTTTAGATGACTCATTGAACTAGAGCTGCAACAGTTAATCGATTTAGTCGATTAAAATCGACGATTGAAAACGTTACCAACGTTTTCGATCGTCGATTCGTTGCTATCGATTGATTTCCCTGTTCGGGGCTCTACTTTTTTTTACTTCTACCGCGCCAAGCTTGCTCCCGTGATGGACTACAATCTCACCACAAACTAGTAGTCCATCACTGGAGCCTTTTTTTTTTTATCCGATTAACCGATTAATCGAACTTAATAATCGGCCAACTAATCGATTATGAAAATAATCGTTAGCTGCAGCCCTACATTGAACATATCTGGATCGTGTCTACACGGGAATTGGGTATAATAAAGAATATTTGCATCATCTGACATCTGTGGACACCTTTAGAATTAAAACCATGTCCTTCTCTTTTAGTACTTTTGGTGGACAATACTAGTTTGGCGTTAAATGAGTAAGAATGAATAGGTTCCTGTTAGCAGGATTTCATTAGTCAAACTCTGAATGTTTCAGACTCTGCTACTATATTGTAATGCAGTCTTGGCAAGTGTTACACAATTAGCAGGGCAAATGTTTTAGAGGGTGACATCATGCTCTCACTCTGAAAAGTGTGAATGTTGTGCTAATTGCACTTGGCCTACAACTACAGAATAATAATTTAAGATGTGCACTAAAACTGATTTTCTGGTGATGTCTTTGGTAACGTTCCTTTTTTTGAATTTGTGACATCTGCTGGACACTTGCTGCTTCCTAGATCAACTTTCACTTCTGCAGTATCTTACAACAGTGTTCTCACTTAAAGGGTTATTAAACCCTCCTGCTAGCAAGCAGTAGATCTATGCAAAAAGTGTTAAAAAAAATTAGTAAAAACGCTTTAAAAGAGGTTAATACTTACCTGTGTCTTCCCCGCGTGCTCCCGTCCGAAAATGTGAAAATTCTCAGGCGGCCGCAAAGCATCTTGGGACGGGCGCATGCACAGTTCACATTTTCGACCAGGGAGATGAGGAGAGACGCAAGGTATGTCTATGGACGACATGCACCCGCATGCAGACACCGTGGGACAGGAAGTGCCAGCAAGGGCAGAGGAGTCGGCGCTGGATCGGAGACCTGTAGCAGCGCTGGAGGGACAGATGAAAACGACAGGAAAGAAGATGATCGGATTAAGAAACCTCATTTAAGGTAAGTGCTTTAACATTGGGGGGACGGAAAAAAATTTTTGACTTTGATCTCACTTTAATATGTCAGAGCTCTTTTTCATTGAATCAGAAGTATCAGGGATGATTTCAGAAAACCCTGTATGTTCTAGATTATTGCATCAGAAAGTATTGTAGTTAGATGATAGTATAAGAACTAGACAACTGCAGCATTCATGAGGAAGTCAGCAATGGGCAGGGCCCTCCTTACCATTGTGTCTTGAATTGTATTGTAATTATATTGTCTTCCCTATGTTGTAAAGCGCTGCGCAAACTGTTGGAGCTATATAAATCCTGTATAATAATTAGGGATGCACCGATACTTTTCAGATACCAGTGCCGATACTTGGCATTTTCGTGAGAACTACCAGTGTTGCAGCTGGGACCTGGCTCTGGCGCTCCACCACTGTCTTGAAATCATTAGTCTGTATTGTTTTGGAAGAACTGTCGCATGACAATAAACAAAAATGTATCAGTACTCGTACTTGCAAAAATGGTATCGGTGCATCCCTTTTATTTATAAAAACAAAATCATACATTAAAACAGATGTACAAATCCCAGGGGCTCCGTGTGCTCCTTATAAATGACAACTGCCTCATAACTTTTGAATTTTTCTCTAGTCTAGTCTTGGAGCTCAAAAAGTATCTGTACTTGTACCGAGTACAGTACTTATCGGTGCATCTCTAATAATAATTTCTCTCATGGCAACTGTCTTTTAACAATATGATGAGGGGGTCACAGGGAACCAGACGGGTACTACGCCATAGATAGTGACTTTCTACTTTCCCATATAAAATAAGCATTTTGCAAGCCCCTCCTATATCAGATCTGTAAGAAGGACTTTATTTCTAACAAAGTCAACCTGTCAGAAATCTGGGCAATTCTCACCTTGTGATGAATTAGTGTCATGTCATTTTCACTGTGCGGCGGATTCGGGTCCCTGAAGATGGCGGACGCGGCACAGGTACTCGTTTTATGTATCGGAGTATTAGTACAAGTACTCATGCAAATACTCGGTATGGCCGCCGATACCGATGCTTGTATCGGTATCGGTGCATCCCTAATTTTCACTGAAGGTAACCTCTTATACCTATATACTGTATATCCTCATATGCAGAGATAATTGCCCAAGTTTGTTACAGGTTCACTTTATGCCCCTGTGAATAACTGTGCAATAGGAGCCGCTGTTTTATAGTACAGATACAGTCTAAACTAAAGAAATCGTATTCAGCTAACATTTAGCTTAAACATGTTGATGCTGACTTATAAAGGTGGAGCAAAGAAAGCACCTGCGACCAGGCCCGGATTTCCCACAAGGCCACCGAGGCCCGGCCTCGGGGCGGCAGGGCGCAAAGGGGCCGCAGCGGTGTCCTTGTGGGGAAGTTGCGGGCGTCGGGCGGTAAGTTGCCCTCTCTACATTTAGTCCTACTTTGCACTAAATGTAGAGTAGGGAAGCTAATTGTTTGTTTACATGTGATGTTGGAGATGTCGCCGAAATCGCATGTAAAAAGTCTGCACCATCCCCCCTGCACTTACCTCTCTCCTCTGGTTCCGTCCTCAGGGCTCCGCCACCGAGTCTCTCCTCACTGCAGGGAGCAGAGCGACAGGGTTAAAACTAAGGCGGGGCGTATTGCGGAACCTGGCCTTGGGGCGGCAGGGAGAGTAAATGCGGACCTGCCTGCGACCTGTGAGTTCAAAACTGTCAGAGTAATACCTCCTGTGTATTCAGTAAAGTTGTGCAATAGGAATATGTGTAGTGGAATAGCAGGTAGCAATCAGACATTCTCTCACCTTACCAGAACTTAATTGATATCTACACACTATTGTTTTTATTTTTTTGCAACCACATTGGTCTTTTAACTGCCTAACTAGGCCTTAAGGATTACAAAGTTTTTGACTTCCCCTTTTTGATATCGTCACATTTACATGAAATAGTGAATGCATATAACATTAAAAATGTTCTTCTTGTTTACAGTATTTGAAGAGCCAGAGGATCCCAGCAACAGATCGTTTTTTTCCGAAATCATTTCTTCCATTTCAGATGTAAAGTTCAACCACAGTGGCCGGTATATCATGACCCGAGACTACCTTACAGTCAAAGTCTGGGACCTGAATATGGAGAACAGGCCAATAGAGACATACCAGGTAGTGAACACTCTGATACCAGACTTGTCTTGGTGGGATTTAAGGTGGCTAAACAAGCCCATATATTTGTGTAACCGATCATACATGATTATATTTTAAATCTTGTGGCCAGGCTATGGACATTCAAGTATTTGCAATCTCTCTTAACAAGCCGGAAAGGAGTTTTAAACCAGTAGTCATCAGTGACTCAGGAGCCTACAAACCTTATCTCTAATGTAAACACAGATCAGAAGCTCTGGAAGGGGGAGCTGAACTGCTAAGAGATGGATGCTTCTGCTGTTTAACTGTGAGGATGAATAGCTCTACATCGCCTGCAGCTACAGAGAGTTCTCATTTACTGCGTGTTATGAATATGCTTCGATGTCAGTGACATCACTCACACTTAGTGTGGGGTACTGTGGGTGATAAATAGTGGGATCCAATAGGAAATAGTAGATGATTAGATTCTTTAAGTTGCCAATTCTTCTATGCCACTTAAGCCAGTTTTGGGAAGCAGGATGGTAATCATTCCTTGGGATAGAAGATCTGGTTAATCTGGAAGAGCCCACAAAAACTGTGTGGCTAACCAGTACAGTACACAGAGGGCAAGAATGCGGCATAAACACAGCCCAATGCCCAAGGTTACGTTCCAGGCAGGTCCCTCAAACGCCCAGTCCAGTGAGGCCCAAGTACGGCCTGCAAAGCTATTGCGAAGGATATACTAAGCTATTAGCTGCAAAGAGAGACAAGCTCAAGCAACTTGCAGACGAAGGCTTGAATACAAAATAATCTTTAGAAAGGAAAAAATGGCTAGCAGAATGTTAAATGTTTGTCAGAGAAAAGATGTCCATCCTCCTAGGATGCTAACTGAGGCATGCTGGGGATGAGAGGGGTTATACCAGCCTAGACACTTTTTTGTTTGTTTTTGCCTTTGTCCAAATCCTGTCAAATGAAGTAGGCACTATAATTCAGTGGTCTCTGAATCCTGTGTCCCTCAATGAACAAGACATTTACGTTTTGGCTTTTGATATGCTTCAAACAATTAATGTATTTTAATTATGTATTTAGCTTGCTCACTTACCACTTCAAAAAAATATAGCGCAGGGAATTTATGAACATTTATTAAAACTGGAGCAGTTGCCCATGGTATCCAGCTTTTCTCTTCTATTATGCCAAATGAGAGATTGAGACTGGTTGCCATGGCCAGCTGCTCCAGATTCTGTGTGCTCCAGTTTTGATAAATACCCCTCAGTGTGTTTTTTGTTTGAATTACAACATTTATAGTATAAAATTATTTCGCTCAGCATTAGTCATTTTTGTGATTTTTTTTTTTTCATTATAGTGGATAGAGTGGGTTAGCAACGGTGTCAGAATTTTATTGCTGTGTGTGTCCTTGGATCGATTTCTGCTTACCTCTGTCACAGTGGTTACCAAGACAAAAAGTATGGGGGCATATCTACTTCATGAATAGATACAGTAATAATAGAACTGACAGACATTCTAACCCTTGGGCTTCGGGGAAATGATATTTCCCTTTTAAAATAGAAAAAGAGATTGAGAACACAATCTCTTTTTCTGTGTCCCCTGTTATCAATTAACAGGAATCCTCTGAGTGTTCCTGTTCATTGATAACATGAGAACATTGTTTACTATAACTACATTTATGAATGAATGGGGGTGATGTAGATCACTCCCATTCATTCATAATTGAGGATATAGTTAACATACCATATTCTCAATTATGTACACACACTCCGCGATCACTGATGTTTGTACCTTGCTTTTCTCTCTGACACGCTGTCTCCGCCCCCACACCACTCTGCCGGACTGTGATAGGCTGAGCGGTATGGGAGAAGAGACGCCGGCGGCTCACAGCGCTCTCGTCCTGCAGCGCTCGGCCGGCTGTCACTTTCTTTTCTCCCCGATGGAACAGCGCCCAGCTGGGAGAAAAGAAACCAGGGATGCGCCGATGTATCGGCCGAAACATGGCTCTTTCGGCATTATTATTGTTCTCTCTGTTAAAACACTGTTACCCTCCTTTTTGTTCTCTTTCGGCATTATGCCTAAAGTGCCATTTTCGGCCGATATGTTTTGGCGCCGATATATCAGTGCATCCATAGTTCCAGGTGGTATACTTTAAATTGACCTCTATTCCTCAAAGCTCCCACCCTGGGTCGATACCTTTTTAATCTTGTTGCACTACCTAATATACAGCCTGAAATTGAATATTCTTATATTGTACATGTTTCTTCAAAATCGCATACATTTGTTCCTCTTCATAGCATGTAAAAGCTCTTATCTTAGTATTGTTTGTTTGGCTCTGTTTCTATTGATGCTTAATAAAACTGCTTTATGGAAAGAAAAACAGCCAGCAGCTTAATGTGACATCCTTAAGAATGTCCTCGCTGTACACCCTGCAGTGCTGATTAAGCATTCATACTGAAAGCACTGTCTTGTCATCTTGTTCCAGGTCCATGATTACCTCCGCAGCAAGCTATGTTCACTCTATGAGAATGACTGCATCTTTGACAAATTTGAATGTGTATGGAATGGTTCAGACAGGTAAAGACAAAGTATTTGATTTTCAGCGTTGCATAATGCATAAAACCCTGTTAATTCTATCCATTAGTCTGGTGTAGCTTTGCTTTGTTTTTCTAAAGCATCACTTTTCTTGGAAATGGAAAACAAAACTAGAAGTTTAATAATGTATCAAACCTCAAATCACCTGAATGTGGTCTCTCAGGAATGCATACTGATTAAAATGGGTGAATGCATTTTTTATGGCAGGGTTCTAAATAAAAACTATTTTAAAATAGCTTTGGTAAGGATTGCATACTTTGTTTTTGTAGGGGTTGATCCTAATTTTAATCGTATATTTAATATAAACGTAAATACGCGTCCGGTGCCCCAGCGCGCAAAAATGACAATTGCGCTACACATGTTACATATCGCCGTGAACGTCGCAGTGAGAGCAATCATTTTAGGGCCATCAATCACTGATAACACTAAAATGATGAGCGGTAACAGCTTTTAAAGCGTCGCCTAGGGCCAATTTTGGGTATTATCGTTTTTTGAGGTTTCGCGCGCGCACGCAATTTTAAGGCTTGACATGTTTAGTGTCTTTTTACCCGACGTGACCCCATCTTTTATATTTTACCAAAAAATTGGGTAATAATAAATGTTTTATAATTTAATATAGGGGAAACTGTGTTTTTTTTTTTAAATGTCGGTAATTTTTCCTTAATATAGTAAAAAAATAAAACCCCCAGTGGTGAATAAATACCACCAAAAGAAAGCTCTATCTGTCCCCAAAAAAGGGTATAAAATTCATTTCAGTACAGCGCTGCATGACGGAATAAATGTCAGTCAAAGTACCGCAGCGCTGAATACTGAAAAATGGCCTGGCCAGGAAGGGGGTTTAACACCGCGGATGTCAACTGGTTAACACTGAATATTTTCCTTCCTTGTGTGATTGTGCTGAATAATTGTTGGTGGTTTTACCATTCTTTTTTTTTTCAGTGTCATCATGACTGGCTCGTACAACAATTTCTTCAGAATGTTTGACCGCAACACCAAACGCGATGTCACATTGGAAGCCTCTCGAGAGAACAGCAAACCAAGAGCAATTCTCAAGCCACGCAAAGTCTGCGTAGGAGGCAAACGCAGAAAAGATGAAATTAGTGTGGATAGCCTGGACTTTAGCAAAAAAATTCTCCACACTGCTTGGCACCCTTCAGAAAACATCATAGCCGTGGCAGCCACAAATAATCTGTATATATTTCAGGACAAGGTTAACTAGAACGCTATTACAAAAATACTAGGTACCGTGTGTTCCAAGGCTTTTTAATATATTTTTTCTTCTCCCATTTTCTAATATTTTGTTTTTGTGTGTTTTTTTTTTTTCCATTCACCACGTTCTTCCTTTGCCGACACATAGGTGAAAGTCACCCCAAGACCCCTTTACACCATTTCAAACTGCTGACAATTTTTCATTTTCTTTTTCTCCTTCTTTGTGTTGGCAACCTTCCTGTGGCATGGTTCTGAGACATGCTCTGTAGGGGCGTGCTGTTGGCCTCTCATGCAGCATGAAGGGTTTAAGCAAAAAACTTTGGAGAACACAAATGTTGGGTATATATACTATTTCTTTTTAATTGGTAATTACATTTTTAATAAAAGATGATCATTACAAGTATGCGTTTCATCCTCTATGTTCCAAAATCATGAATGTTCTGTTATAAAGTGGTTTGGTATACTCGACTGTACTGATATATGAATGTAGCTTGTCAGAGTGGTTGTGGTATGTGCTACTGATATCTTATGACTGAGTGGCTGGGTCATGCCCATCTCTTTTCATAGAGTGGTTATGGTAAACTCAACTGTACAAATATATGAATGTTACTTGTTGCTGAGTGTTTGGGGTATATTCAGCTATTCTGGTACATGAATGTGTTTTGTCACAGAGTGGTTAGGATATACTCAACTGTACTGATATGAATGTGTCTTGTTAGGGGATAGAGTATATTTGTCCTGGTCTATTTTTCATGTCCAATATGCCACTGTTGAGATCACACCAAAAGAGTTTAAGGGACCAAAGTAGGTAGTGAAGATGCTGATATTCATAAAAGGTTTGCACTGAAGTTGAGCTAACACTTCACATATCTGGAGCTTCTTTTTAAAGCCTTCGGATCAGTTTTTTTTCTGACAAGAATAAGCGATATGGTCATGTAAAGGTTAAAGGGTTGTCCTTAACACAGCTGTCGGAATAACCATTTGTTTCAAAGACAAACCATTTATTCAAAATATCACTGATGGTATTTCATGCTACTATTGTAAAACAAGCTGCTTGGCCTGGTGGGCCAAGCAGCTCAGTAAAATGTGTTTCCATTTTGATGGAACTGTACTGCCAAATAGATCAGTAAATATTATAGTCAGACCTAACACCTGTGGGTCCCAAATACCTCTCAAAATAGTGAATATTAAAGTCATGCCCAAACCCTGTGGGTCATGCTTTTAAAGCGTCACCTATGGTCAATTTTGGGCATGGTAAGTTTTTGCGATTTTGCGGGTGCGCGCAATTTTAAAGCTTGACATGTTTGGTGTCTATTGACCCTGTCTTTTTATATTTTACCAAAAATATGGGTGATAAATGGGTGTGGTTACTGGGGGTGTGACCACTAAAGGGTGTGGCCAATGAGGGGTGTGGTCACTGAGGGGCGCTGTAAAGCTTTCTCGCACAGGGCGCCTAAAGGCCTAAGGCCGGCCCTGGTCATACGAACCTCTGCTGCTGTCAATCACTCTGCAACAAGTTATTTGGTGGTTCTATAGCACAGCACCCAGGGTGACTAGACAGGTCTGACATGATTTTGGTGCCATGTTCCCAGTAAAATTGGCCAACCTTTACATTTATTACCAGAGTTTATAACACCCTTAGTACACCTAATATATTACCACGAATAATTAGTTGTGGGAAGTGTATGTGGTCCATGTCAGATGAGTGCTGACATGCAAGGGGTGTCTGCTCTTCCCTCCTGCAGCCTGCTACCTCGGAACCATGGCTCCTGTATTGCTGTTTTCATTACAACCCCTGTTACTAACCCAGCGTTGTGAACCCTCTAGTAGATTCGGTAAGCTAGTACATCCACTGCAGTAATACTAGTGATAATAAATGGCCATTTATTAAAAAAACACTCTAACCTCACGCTAATATATTCAGCAGCAGGCACTAATAGTACAAAATTAACCATTAGGCCATTTATTATTCAATCCATATATTAAGTTTTGTAAGCATCTGCTCTTTTTAGCTACACCAAATGGACAAATTGCTATTCATGCCACTTATAAATTTCTTCTGGCACTCGCATACCGGGTTTCACAAATTTGTGTTCACTTTTTCAGATTTTCCAAATCCTTTTATTTTGAGTAGGTAACCGTCTATTAGAAATAAGTGGTCTGTATGATTGTTTTCTAACATTACAGCCATGATGTTTGCTTTGTATATTTGCAGGTTTATAAATGGCCAGCAAAGTGATGTATTAGTTTTCAGCAAAGGTCATTAGTGGTAAAAACAAAAATAAAGTATATCTAAAGACAGAACTTTTTTGTTTTGGATAAAGTATGAAAGGGTAAGGACCTGTG